TTGGGCATTCTTGTATATTATTTATTTTTTCATTCTTAAATAAAATATTGTATAAATTAGTTAGGATTAAGTACTAGGTACAAAAATGCTTAGAGTTTATGTTGTTATATTATTATTTAACTTGTCATAACGTTATTTAGTTATAAATTCTTACCAAAATATTTGACTCATTATTGTTAACAACATATAAATTCACTGGAATAGCTCCATCTCTAAKTCTAGGTCTTTTTAGACACACTTACAAATATATTTATATGTTATATTTTTACCTATAGTTGTATCAGTTCATAAATATACTATACATATATTTATAAGTAATGGTACTAACCGTGTATTTATTTATTCCATTTCAAGATTCCCATGTGTCTTAAAATGGTTACCACAAACACGAGCATAATTAGTTAAAGGAATACCCAAGACATTCTCCCATTCAGACCGTAAGACAATATTCAATGGAACTTTGTAGGAACTAATCTTTGCATATTTGTCATATGAAGGACAATTAGGTATACAACAAGACATTTTAATTTTAAAAACAATTAAATAATTTCAACAAAATTAAGCATAATATATTAAAACTTTATGAATAATAACATTTTTGTTATATCTTGTTGTATACCAACCAAACTAATCCAACTGATAAAAGAGTGCAATACCGAAACAATATGTAGAGTACAATTTGCAAATACACTTTCAGAAAGTTTTGAAGTCAAGGTTGGTCTAAGACAGGGAGATGCGCTTTCTCCAGTACTTTTCAATTTGGCTTTAGAAAAAGTAATTAGATTTCTCCCTGCTAGACAAAATATGGAAATTCTGGAACAGAACACTATTTTAGCATACGCAGATGATATCGTAATAATTGGTAGTTCTCGAATTGATGTGGAAATGAGAACTGCAGACCTAATCAAAGCAGCAGAACCAATTGGATTAAAAGTCAATCAAGAAAAGACCAAATACCTAGTACTTAGTAGTATCAAGAGAAGAGAGAGCTCTGGATGATATGCTAATGGATGGATATGTCTTCCAACAAGTAACAGATCTCAAGTATCTAGTAACTAATATAAACGACCGTAACAATATGCACAACGAAATCAAATTGAGAATTGCATCAGGGAGTAAGGGATATAACGCACTTGCGAAATTGTTTAAATCGAAATTTTTGACTAGGAAATCAAAAGAATATTTACATTCCAGTTTTTTACGACCGGTTTTGACGTATGGCTGTGAAACCTGGTCGGTAACTAAGGGAGATGAAGAGAAGCTAAACATATTTGAAAGAAAAGTATTACGTCGAATCTAT